ATCTGACTAACATTATCCCACAATTCTTTTGCAGTAGGATAGCACATGTAATTGGAGCTTATGTCCTCCTCCATGGAATTGACCAGCCATGTCATAACCATGGAGTTTTCAGCATCCCAAGTAGCGTACAGCAGGAGCCTTCTTGTCACCAGTGATGTAACCGATTTTCCCTTGTCCACGAATATACATCCGGATTGATTGTGCCATCGAAGGAAGTTGTCACCATTTAAGCGGATGGTGGTGATTTGGACAGAATGAGAATTGGAGTGGTGCTGCGGAGTGGCCGCAGCAGGGGTTGAGGTGATTTCCGATGCGACTTCGGATATGGCTACAATGATTTTGGAACTACTGTGTTTTAGGGTTAAGACACGATTATGGCTCTGACACCAAATTAGAAAAGAATGAAGAAATAATGTGTGTCTTATTTCTTGAATGAGTACAAGGCTCCTTTTATACAGAGGGAAATTACAACAAAAAAAGAAACTAATTAGAGCCAATATTTGACAGCTTCTACTTTCCTACTTTTTCTTGATTTACATATTTTACTTTCTATATTTACATAGAAAACAAATCCTAGAATATCTCACAGATTATGACTAAATCAAGGCTTTCAATGACTAAATTTCCAACATTTTAACCTTTAAGTGAAGACGACAGGTTCCTTGATTTTTTATCCTAGTGGCACAATTACCCTCCATTATTCTGTATTATTCCTGAGGTGGTTATTCCCTTGATGTAATTTGGAAAGGCACAAAGAATAAAATCCATGAAAGGCTATATAATCTGGATTTACCAGCTGAAGCTGTACATCTCATAACATTGGGAAAAAAAAAATCTCCCTTGGCTTCTTAATCAGTCATAGCTCAAATTCATGATATCAAAGGAAACGACGATAGAGAAGAAATGAAAAAAAAATAAAAACCACAAATTATTTTGCATGTCATTACTTGGAGGCCTGATTTCATCACCTTGCTCTAAATGCATCGTACTCTTGTCATGGCCATGCAATCTTCAATAATACCCATTAGTATTAAAAATACTTAATTATTGGTCTGATTTATTTTTTCTGTTATTAGTTCTATGTTGCTTGGACAGACTTCATCCTTGAGGTTTTTCTCATTCTATTTGGATTACTGGGCATAAAAATCCATTTTTCTATTCAGTGTCAGTTCAATTATGTAGTAAACTCTTATTACATTGATCTGATTTGATTTTCAACCAGTTTTTGAGATGTTAGTGAATGTTACAGCTGATAGAAGTTTATTCAGTAATTGTGCCCTCAAGCTTCTTGAAAAGTTCCATTTGTTGTACTATAATGGTTTTTGTCGCTTTCCCCAGGTCATTGCACATCTTCTGAAGCCTCATAAACCTCCAGTTTGTCGACAGTTTTTCTTAGACTGCAACGAAATAGCAGATCTATGTGAAAGTGCTGAACGAATATTTACCATTGAACCAACTGTTTTACAGCTGAAAGCTCCTATTAAGAATTTTGGTGATCTACATGGACAATTTGAAGATCTTATGTGCCATTTTGATGAATATGGCTCACCTTCAACAGCTGGGGACATTGCGTAAGTGTTGGCCTAAAGATCTTGTTTTCTGAAGGCTCTTGATTGGTGATGTTTCAGCATACTAAGGACTGACCTTTCTAATATCTATAAGCACTGTTGTCTTCTCATGTGTAATCTGCATGCGCGGTGTTGCATCTCATTTTTACTCTTTACATATTTTAACTTGATACTAATTTAGTATAAATTACTATCAGATATATCGATTATCTCTTCTTAGGGGATTATGTGGACCGGGGCCAACACAGCTTGGAGACCATTGCTCTTCTGCTTGCGTTGAAGGTAAATATAGAAGTTTGGTACCTCCACTATCTTCTCATGCTCAGTTTTACTTCCTATTGAAATATTGATGAGCTACCTACCTATGTTAATGTTGCAGGTTGAGTATACCAAAAAATGTTCATTTAATTCGGGGGAATCATGAAGCTGCGGATATAAATGCACTTTTTGGCTTTCGGATTGAGTGTATTGAGCGCATGGTACTGTTTCATGTGTTAGAAAAATGTCAAGTAATGCTTTCTAGATTAACATTTAGTCACAAATCTGATGGCTTGTGTAACAGGGTGAGAAAGATGGAATATGGGCATGGCATCGCATAAACCGTTTATTCAATTGGCTTCCTCTGGCAGCTCTAATTGAAAAGAAAATTATCTGTATGCATGGTGGCATTGGTCGGTCTATAAATCATGTGGAACAGATTCAGAACCTACAGCGTCCAATTACAATGGAAGCTGGCTCGATCGTTCTTATGGATTTATTATGGTCAGAGGATGTTACTGTTTTTTCTGGTGATGAAATATAATATTCATAGTTTTCTTTTGTTGATACATTTTTTGCCATTTTCTTCTCTAGGTCCGATCCAATGGAAAATGATAGTGTGGAAGGGTTGCGACCAAATGCTAGAGGTCCAGGTTTGGTTACTTTTGGGGTGAGTAAGCTACTTTAAAGCTTTTAAGCTACAGAAATTCAAGACCTCCATGTTGCTTTCATTTCGAGATTTGAGGAAAGTAAGAAATTACTGGCTGGTTGATCTCCGTACTGTACCTATGAAACAATTTCTCTCTCTCTCTCTCTCTCTCTCTCTCTCTCTCTCTCTCTCTCTCTCTCTCTCTCTCTCTCGAAAGCTAAAACTTTTGATTGAAGATACTTGTTTACTTTGTTTGTGTATTTCTTTTCTTACTTGCTTATACTGGCCTATATCAGAGTAAAACTTATTCTGTGGAGTACTTAATGCTCTGATTTTTCGTGTTATATTTTGTAAATGATTGTTTCCTTTTGCAGCCTGATCGTGTTATGGAATTCTGCAATAATAATGACCTCCAGTTGATTGTCCGTGCCCACGAGTGTGTTATGGATGGCTTTGAGCGCTTTGCACAGGGACATTTGATCACCCTTTTCTCTGCTACCAATTATTGTGGTGTGTCCCTGTCTTGTGTTTTGATTTTGTGCGTGTTTGACTATCAGGTCTTAAGACTAGTAGCCTTTAAATTTTGGATTATGCTTGTATTTTTCAGGTACTGCTAATAATGCTGGTGCAATCTTAGTTTTGGGTAGAGATCTTGTGGTTGTTCCAAAACTCATTCATCCTTTACCCCCAGCAATTTTATCACCAGAAGCATCAGCGGAAGGTCATACAGAAGATACAGGTGTTGCTTCTTCCTCTTTGTTAGCAGTAACTAAGCTTGAATTGTTTCTGTATGTTTTTTACTTGGACTAGGTGTACTTCTGCTTTAATGACGTTGAATTTTGTGTTTATGGGATTAGGAGCTGAATGCTAACAGACCTGCAACACCAACCAGAGGTCGTCCTCAAGTAGCAAATGCAAATGACCGAGGCTCACCTGCTTGGATATAGTAGATTCTTCAAATTGATTCTATATATACTCATTCGGGCTTATGCTATACCACCTGGAGATTCTGGTGCTCTGTATAGAGCATGATGACATATACAGGCATTTCCCAAACTTGTAATCTCTACCACTGAAGTTAGAAGGAGTAAAAACACGTGTGAAAAATACCTCATGTATTCATATTAACCATTTCAGTACACTACTCTTATATACAATTCAATTACATCAGCTAACATACTAACTAGCTTCTAACCAACGGCTAACTAACTAACAAACCTTCTAACTAACTCTCAACTTCTCAACACTCCCCCTCAAGCTGGTAGGCTAAAGATATCTTTGACTCCCAACTTGGAAATTAAATACTCATACTGTTGAGTTCCCAAAGCCTTGGTTAAAACGTCAGCTAATTGATTTGCTGATGAAACATAATCTGTGCAGATCACTCCTTGTAATTTCTCTCAAATGAAATGACAATCTATTTCAATATGCTTTGTCCTCTCACGAAATACTAGGTTTGCTACAATCTGCAGTGCTGCCTGCCTTGCTATCACAATAAAGTCTAGCTGGTTGGAGATCCTTTACACCCAGCTCTATTAACAGACCTCTTAGCCATACAATTTCAGCTGCCACCATTGCCATACCTCTGTACTCTGCCTCTTCTGATGACCTTGCTATAGTATTCTGCTTTTTTGGCTTCCAGGAAATTAAGCAATTTCGTAGTTCAACACAGAAACCAGTAATTGATCTCCTTGTCATCAAACAAGCTGCTCAGTCAGCATCACAAAAGGCTGTTAGCTGACATTGTCCTACAGAAGACATAAAATTCATTGACCTGGATTCTTCTTTATATACTTAACCACTCGAAGGGTTGCTTCCAAGAGTGACCTTTTAGGTTGCTGTATAAACTGACTCAGATGATGTACCACAAAAGTGATATCTTGTCTTGTATGAGTGAGATAGATCAACCTTCCTATCAACCTCTGGAAGACTTCTTTTTCACCCTGCAACACTTCATCATCTATCCTCTTTTCACCATTTTCAATCAAACCAGAATCATAACCAGTAGAAGTAAGCTTGACATTCTGCTCCATAGGAGTACAAACAGGTTTAGCACCTCCTAATCATGTTTCTTCTATTAGCTCTAGTGCATACTTCCTTTGGTTCAACAAGATTCCTTCACTAGATCTAAGTATCTCAAAATCAAGAAAATACTTAAGTTCCCCTAAGTCCTTCATTCTGAAGCTAGCATGCAAAATTACCTTCAATTCTTCTATCATGGTAGCATTATTTCCAGTAATCAGTAGACCATCAACATATATAAGCATGACCACTATATTTGTTCCTTCTCTTTCTGTAAAAAGCGAGTAATCAAACTTACTTTGAATATATCCAGCAGCAACCAAAGCTTCAGTCAGCCTCATGTTCCACTACCTAGATGCTTGCTTAAGGCCATAAATAGATTTCTGCAACCTACAAACCATGTTCTCCCCCTGGCTGCAGAATCCCTGAGGTAACTGCATGTAGACCTCCTCAAGCAAATTGCCTTGAAGAAACGCATTATAGACATCCATTTGAAACAGAGATTAGTGCTGCAAAGAGGCTAACGCCAAAACAGTTCGTACAGTAACAAGCTTAGCAACAGGCGAGAAAGTTTCAACAAAATCCACACCTTCTTGCTGATTGTAACCTTTCGCAACCAGAAGTGCCTTGTAGCGTTCAAACTCACCATTGGATCGAAACTTGACTTTATACACCCACTTGCATCCAATGGGAACCTTTCCCGGTGGCAAAGGAACTACACACCAAGTATTGTTTAATTCTAATGCTTGAATCTCCTCTTGCATGGCAGTAACCCATAAAGGGTCTTTAATGGCATCATTATAACTAGTAGGCTCAACAATAGAAGTGGAAGAAAGGAAAGATTGAGTGTGAAAGGGAAGATGAGAATAAGAAATATTATTTGAAATACCTCGTGTATTCATATTAACCATTTCAGTACACTACTCTTATATACAATTCAATTACATCAGCTAACATACTAACTAGCTTCTAACCAACTGCTAACTAACTGACAAACCTTCTAACTAACTCTCAACTTCTCAACAGAAGGCTTTACGACATTTTGGTTTTTTGGCGATTTCAGCAGACTGTTGGCCTTGAGATCATTAAAAAGATGCAAGTTCAGGCACAAGATTGCCATACGCCGTTGGTTTGCCTTCCCGTAATGTGCTGAAAGTTGCACTCAAGGCTTCTCCCTCCGTGTAAACTGAGCGTGGAAAGCAGGCTGCCTGGTGGTTTCTTCGATGGGTTGGTAGTATTTTTCACATTTAGTTTATGTATATATTCGTCATTTTAGATCAAATATTTTTCTGCCCTCCTTTGGGGGCCATTATATGTGAGGATGATGATGAGAGAAATAATAGTGATACATATGTATCATAGAGGGGTTATATATTGGTGTAATTTTCACATTATGTGATATGTACAATATTGTAATGTTTTTGTGGGAAGATAAAAGAAACTTTAGTAAACAAGGTGAGAAAGTTTAGGCAGGTTTGATCACAAGGCTTTTCCCCTTTTTCTTTTTAAAGGGCCAGCTTCAGATTGCTGCCATGTTTATGCAGTTAGTTTAGGTGTTTACATTTACATTTTCTGGTCTGATCTGAGGTAGTGTTTGGTTCTGTTCATATCCATGAGAATCAAATGTTATCAATTTCTAATTTAAGAAACTTGATGACGTTTAAACTATATGAACATAAAAGATTTAAACAAACAAAAAATAATAATAATAACAACAAATGTTCGCTCTCTGCCCAAAAATTTCTAAACGTTCACTCACTGTTTATCAATACGATACTAGCTCTCTACGTCAATAAAGATTCTATACAAAATAGTAAGGGTCCTAGCCACATTACCCCTTTGTTTATCAATATGTTTGTATTTTTTTCATAGCGTTATTAATAAAATATTATTAAAGGATCATTTGAAAAAGCTTACGTAAGTGTTTTTAATCTGATTTATATCGTTTAAAAAATATTATTAAGGGGTTTGAAAATATTTATGAAAATATTTTGGCCTAAAATTCTAATTGAAACGTAAGAATATTTCCAAACAATTCTTTCTATACAATTCATTTTTAACAAAAATAAAAATTTACATTTGAAACATTATTATGGACTCAAAACAAGAAATTAGAACAATGATTTTGCGTTAGAAAAACTTGTTTGTAGAAACATTCCCAAACGAAACCTAATTATGTTATTCGACTTAAATAACATTAACCTAAAGTCATGTTTTCTTGTTTAAAAATAAAATATTAAAATTTTACGATTTACATCTGAATGTAAATGCATAAATACATATAACGTATTAAGAAAATTATGGAGAACATGAAATTGAGCTATTTATATTACATATATTTATGTACTTGGGCAATACTGAAGAAGTCGAAATAGACAAGTTCAGAAGGGTTCATCGAAAGGTGATGGTATCGGAATACAAAAGCTACATTGTTAAGATGAACGGACACGCACAGCAGCAGTTAACCACGCTTTACAGGCCTCTGAACATACGATTTGTTGGGATCCTCCGTCTTCAGTTTTGGTGGACGAAGTTCTCCTTTCTTCGACTGTGAACCAATCATTCCATCAATCTCTCTTCTTTTTAATTAACACAATTTCTCATTTGTTTCCCTTGGAATTTGAATTTGACTTGATACATCCTAAACTCTTAACCCTAAACCTAAATAAGACGCATGTTAAAATAAACCGAACATAAAATCTAAATCCCTAATGATAAACCCTATGTCCCAAACCCTAAATAGAACACGTCATTAAAATAAATAGGCTGTAAATTAAAGTTCACACAGCATGCGAATAAGATGATTTTAATATACAAAACTTTTACCTTTTTCCCTGACTTCATAAAATCCCTCCAACTGGAAACCTGGCCAAGAAACAGAGAAGAGAAAACAAACATTTTAAGCATTTAATAAAGCAAGAGAAGGTTGAACTGGTAACTTCATTATTCCGGGTTCTTAAAAAAGAAACCAAAAAGAGAGGAGAAAACATACTCGCTTTTCCCTTGTTCCTTCCCACTGCTCCTCATGTTCACGCTTCCTTTTCCACATCTCCTTTTGCTCTTCTTCGTCCTTCTTTAGTCGACCTTCTTCTTCAGATATCTGAGATGACATTAGAAGAGGTGATTAGATCATCACAATCAGAAGCCTTTAACAAGCCAGAACAAGTAAGGAAAGCAAGGACGTTAACAGAATCCAGTGTACCCTCATTGCCATTTTTCTTCGCCGCCATTCCTGCTCTGTTAATAACTCCCGAACCTTCAATTTCAACGCCTGCTGGAACTCCTCTGATTGTTCATATTCTTGTTCGGATTTTCCCTGCAAATAAACATACTACCTTAGTCTCTTCTCTTGGCAAAAAATATAAAGGAATTGGATGGGGCAGGTAAACAAGAAAAACCCAATTCAATTGGATGGGTTTAGTTCCTCCAAGAGTTGAGGCTTTCCTTTGGCAAGTATCCCATAAAAAATTACCGGTTAGAGTGGAGTTGAAGAAACGGGGGGTTCCCTTAGGGGACGATATTTTATGTCCTCTTTGCAATCTTTGTGAAGAATCTGTTCAACATCTTTTTATTTCTTGTCAAGTTTCGTGGGAATTGTGGAATAAAATTATCGGCTTTTGGGGTATTTCGTGTGTTTTACCCTCTGATCCTCCCTCCCTCCTTAGCTCTTGGACATACTTGAAGCTTTATTCTGCCATGTGGAAGTTCATCCCAGCGGCAATCCTATGGTCTCTATGGAAATTTAGAAATGATATCATCTTTAATGGAGGTAAACTGGACAATTTAGCTTTGTTTTTCACAGTTCGGCTAAGGTTAGCGAAATGGTTCTTAGCAAAGTATCCAAAAAGCTCTATTCAGCTGGATTCATTAATTGTTGATCCTTCATTGGCAGACACTTGCTCAGTTATAAAAGATTTGAACAGGCCGGAGGTTAGTTGGAGTCCACCTCCTACTGACTTTTATAAAATGAATGTGGATGGAGCTGTTTGTACTGTTGGGAGATCTGCTGGAATTGGGGGTATTCTCAGAGACTGGAATCGGACAAAGCTGATTTCTTTTTCAGAAAATGTTGGTCATACTCCTATCATCATAGCAGAGTTGAAAGCAATCAAGAAAGGAATAGATTTATTTGTTTCTTCAGAATGGGCACCAAAGGGAAGGTTAATTGTGGAATCTGATTGCAAACTAGCAGTGGAATGGTTGGAAGATCAAGCAACTGTCCCTACTTTTCTTACTAATCTAGTTAAGGAGATAGCTTCTACAATGTCTGCGCACGAGATTATAGTGAGGTGGATTCTGAGATGCTGTAATTGCGAGGCTGATAAGTTAGCAAAGGAGGAGATTAGATGATGGGATTTGTTGTTTCAGCGAGTTGTGGCGTTTAGTAGTTCTGATTTTTAGCAGTGTGTTTAAGTTTTATGTATCTTGTAGGACTGTTTTTAAGTCTTATGTAATTCTTTTGCAATCAATAAAGTCTGGCACTCTTTTTCTCCTTCCGCTAGTCGGTTCTTACCATATGGTAAAGGACCTCTAAGAGGGAGTTTTTTAATGAGGCCATCTATTCCTATCAAAAAAAAAATGTAAAGGAAACATCAGACATAGAAAAGCAAATATATTACAGAAGTGATCAATATGAAAAGGTAAAACTCTAATTGCACCAAATCGATCAATATTAAAAGCCTGTAAGGAAAATATATTAAGGATATACCTCGTCAATGACTTTAACTTGGAAGCCGTGTCTTTCTTTAACTGCTCCTTCCTCTTCGCCCCAAGTTCTTCTGCACATTGCATCAAATGAAACATGAGAACCTTTTTTTTGCAACAGTTTTTTGGTTTATTTTACTTATTCATGTAAGAAAAAAGGGGGGGGGGGAGAGAGAAAAGTGCAATTCAAAATGATCAAATCAAACACATGCATGTTATGATAGCACATTTCCAAAGATAATCATACTGATAAACTGACAAGTTTACTAGTTATTCATCAAACTAATTGAACATAACATTAAAGGAAAAGTCAACCAAAGAAAAGTGAGTGCAAAATCTACAATTAGACTCTTCTTTAGGTACATGGCACCGGCAATAATATTCCAAACAAATGTTTTCGATTTTGAAGAAATTTTAAGTGAGAAGTAACAATGCCATGCAAATAGATAAAGCATCCTCAGAAAGTTACTAAATTTTATTACTAGTTATTCATCAAACTAATTTTTTTTTTTATAAAATAAGGCCTCATTAAAAAACCCCTTCTTATCCTACATGTTACAAACATAACATGAAGGAAATTGGAAGGAGGAAAAGAGTGCCTCTAACTTTTATTAATTAGAACAATAATACACCTCCACACCTCAACAGCTAACAACTTCTTACAAAACAGAAAACCATAAATCTGGAAACATAACACACCCTGATACTCCCTAAATAAGAACAACCAAGGCATAACACCTTAACCATTACACAAACCTAAAGATCAGCCTATACCAGCTTTAGCTAACTCATCCGCTTCCCAATTTGCTGCTCTCGAGATGAGCCTTGTGATAATACCCTTCCTCTCCACAGTAGAAGCTATATCCCTTACCAAGGAATGAAACAAAGTAGTACTAAGGTTCGGATTATTAATCCACTTCAGAGCATTAGAAGAATCCGATTCCAAAATGATCCTCTGATTTGAAAAGAAATCAGCTTCAACTTCCTCAATAAGAATCAACCCTCTCTTGATCGCCAAAAGCTCTGCGAGTAAGGGAGGACCTCCCCCTACCTTCTCTGAAAATGACCCAAGCACCATCCCACTACCATCTCTAATCAAGCCACCTATTCCACCCTTATCCCAACCTTTGACCATTGCACCATCAACATTAACTTTTAAGAACCCTATCGGAGGAGGACTCCACCTAGAAGAAGGAAGATACCTCTT